GCTCTTAGAGATAGCACATCCCTCATCCAAAAGGAAACCCAGCCTGTAGCTTGCAAACAGCTACTCTTCTTCCACATTACTGCAGCTTGGCACTTTAGTCTATCATTACCTTCATGGAGAGCAGAGTTAGATTTTAATGGTTCTTCCTGACTCTGTACTCTTTACCTTCATAGCCAAAGGCGAAGGCCAAATGAACTCATTCACAGAGAACAACAAGCAATTTTGTCTGATCCTAATTTTTCTTGCTAAAACTGCATTTGTGTCATTTTGACTGACAGATTGCCTAAAGAGAATCAGCGAAAATACCCTTGATGAAATTCCCTAATGAACACAATGTTTCAAGTGGGTATGTATGTCTGGCTAGAATCTCCCTAAAGGGTTCAGTAAGAGCACATCAAAAGACTGCTGAAATCTTAGTTCCCATCAGAAAAATCACAAAGCCAATCTGAAATCTGGGAGTCTTTTGAGGGCAGATGGTATTAGCCTAGTAGTAAACACATTTTTGGCTGCTTCTTTTTTTTCCCTCCCAGTAGCTATGTGCTGAGAGAAAGCTGTTTGCCTGCAGAATCTTATTATAGAGCAGAAATATACTTGTTACAGAGAAGAATTTAATTGGTTCCAAGTCAAATGATGTTAACAGGTGTCACCTCACCAATCCAGGATTTAAAACGGGTAATTATAAACAGGACTAATATGTGTTTTTCTGGCTCTTGCTCCTGCATATTATGAAAGAATGCATGCCCCTTAATGCTCCCCTGATCGATTTCCAGCAACCTCAGGGGGTGGTTCATATCTCACGCACAAGTACTGCTGGCTATCACACAGTGCCTGCTGTGTTCTTGCTCTTTAGCTCAAGCTCCTCTGCACTGTGATTTGTTACTAAGGCCTGCACAGCTTAATATAAACTGCAAATAAGTCTTGGTCAGTCCTGCTGCGTCTGTCAGGCCCTGTGATACTCCAGTGGAGGGACATAACTGGCTGGTTCCACGATGCACTGAGGTCTGACAGATGGCACAGGCAGAGGGAAAATATCTCTTCCCTATTCAGTGTTCCAGACTTTTGAGGTTAATTTTTAAGAGTTATGGATTTTTTTTATCTACAGACCTCTCTCCTACTAGGACCCAGACTCCACACTGTAGGGAAGTAGGATGGTTGTTAAGTGCGTATGTTGGCCAGGAGAGCACACCTCTCAGCTCTGACGCACCATAATTAAGATGGACCCCAGCAACTGTGCTTTGAAATGAAAATCCCATTTGCACAGAGGTCTCACTGCCCACAGGCTGCTCCCAGTCCCTGACTGAGGACGGGAGGAATATGAAGATCACCTCATCCTGGGGCGACATGGGACGCCTCTGCCCGGTGCCTTTGACTCGAGGTCTCCTAAAAGCCTTGTTGAACTTTCCTTAGAACTGAAGTGAAGGCTTAGATGCTTCTGCCCAACCTCCCTTCCTTTATCCTCTCTTTCTCTTGTTGTTTGATGGCTCTCTCAGTTTCCCCCTTTCTCCGTGTTTTCTGTCACAGGCATTTCCCGATACATTGTTTTTGTGCACATTAGCTCCATCTTGGCGTCTGCTTCTCGCAGGACCCGCGCTGACACAGCAAGCTTGTATTACATGCGACCGGATGACTATCTATTCTCCCTGTGGCTGAACCACATTGCATCTTCCTGATCACTTTCCTTCAGAGGAGTTTTCTCTCCCTGGTGGCTTCAAGGTCCTTTTATGAATAGATTTGATGTTGACCTCAACTTCCCCATTCATATTGGCCAGGCCTGCTCAGACATGTCTGGATCTCAGCCAGAGATGTGACATGACAAGAGACTCATGCTGGGCCCCTTGCTGTGCATCCTAGAGCATGTGTGTAACACTGCAGATAGCTCTCTCCTGGCTTTAGTGCATCTCCGTATCAATAGGTGTTCCCAGGGGGTGGAGAGCAGTAGTCCATCTCCATATCAATAGGTAATTACAGGGGCCAGCGAGCGCTTATCTGGTCAGAGAGGTTAGGTGGGGGCTTCTTCTGCAGTCTGGTCACGAGATACATGGGAGAGCAGAAGTGTATGATTGCTTGTAAGACATAAACTTAATTTCTCCCTTTGACTGATTTTGGTTACAAGCATTGACTATGATTCTTTGCTGGTTTGGTGCACCATCAGCGATAGAAATTTTCCCTGCTTTTGAAATGAACATCCAGTTAATGAGACAAAAACATGTGCCACAAGTGATTAAGAGAATTGATAATAATCATTAAGTGTTCAAGGACACAGAGAGAGCTTCAAGAAAAAGGGTTTCCTCTTTCTCTGGGCTTGTACTCATCTGTGTGGGACCGTGAAAGAAAATAGTGGAATGTTGTTGCTTTCTTTTTGAGCAGCACCATGACCAGCTGGATGTGAAGATACGACAGTGAGAAAGGCATCACAATCCTTATACTCACTACTTAATGTGCTAAGAGCTTACCACCTTTCATCAAGGCTTGCTGAATTCTCCCATTATGTCATAGACTGACATGAGGTCTTCACTTTTCACCCCTCAAAGTACAAAGATTGATGGAAACGGTCAATAAATTAAACAAGCTAGTTTAGCTCCTTAACAGACACAAGAGTTCAGCATTGATTCTCAAAAGATAAAATATTTTACACCTAGGAATGTATATGGTGGTGGTGGAGATAGATAAATGTCAGATAGATCTTCAATGCCAGTATCAATGTGAATGTTGTTTTCTAACACTTTTGACCCTTTGCAAAATTCTAGATTCATAGGCATAGAAACAATGTTAAAGATTATTTAGTATGACCTGTTGATGAGCAGAACAGCAGCTTGAAGGAAAGCTGATGTGAAATGAATGCTGTTAAGTTGTGGGAACTGCTCACAGGAAAATATCAGCAGAATTAAGCAAGGTTAATCAAAAGGAATGAATTGGCTTTGGCACTGAGGCTTGAAATTTTGTGATTCTCAGCTTCTTAAATGAGACACAAGAATGTTGCTTTCTTTTTTTAGTGGTCTGGAACATCCTCAGGGTTAAACTCTCCTTCAGGCGTTTGGATAGTTGTCAGGTGACTTTGGGTGGCTTGCAGATTTTGCCAGAAAGGGTTAGGTCAAACTAATAACAAGCTAAATTCCCATTGTAATCCCGCTTGCTCGTGACATCACAGGATAAACCACTAAATGCAGAAGCTTCTGAAGTCTGTATCTGGAAATTTGTCAGTGTACTGGGCATAACAATTCCTGGTATAATGTTGGAGAAATTTACATGGGACAACCGAATAGACAAGTGAAACTGATTGGTGAGTAAGCATTAACATTTCCCCTCCAGTTACATTGGAATGGACCAATTCAACTAAGCTGACGGTGTTGGTGAGCTGTTTTGTAATATAACATTTCCCTATTCTATTTAACATTTTAAATAGAGTAGATCTAATTCTTGTTCCAACATGTACAAAATAAATGCTTGTCCCTTAACCCCCAAACCAACACATGGTATAGTATGAATAGTTTGATTCTATATGAATCAAAAAGATAAAGGTTTTTCAAGTATCAGATTCCTTTACCGAAAATATCTTGAGAATTTGAGATTGTGTCTGTGCAGCCTCAAACATGAATAAAAAGTAATATAACGGGTTTTTTTCTCCTTTGGGTGATGATTAAAGATAACTTTTTATGCTTTTATAAACTTTCATATTTTCAAAATTTCTACAATAAATATATGCTTTTTAATTCAGAAAATAATTTTGAGCAGTTAAAAAAAGGGACAAACGCGGCTTGGTGTGTAGAAAAACATTCCTAGCATTTGAAACAATCTGGCAAGGGCTTGGAGATAAAAGACAGAAATCTGACTGCATTCAAGGAATTTGCCAGATGGTAACAATGTTCAATGGCACTATAATTATATACTATCTAATTATATACTATCTCACCAAGGTCTCTTTTTACAAGGCATGTGGTGACAGAATGTTGTATTAAGATTACTCGTCATTGGGTTTATGTTGAAATGAAGAAATGGAATGGAAAATCTTTCTTTTGGTAATGTCTCTAGGCAATGAGGAATGGTGGAGAAAGACTTGACTGGACTGAATACAACTATGTAGAGAATTTTGCTTGTTTATGCCTTCTGGAAATGCATTATATTGACTGACCTGAATTGGGAATTCAGAAGGGATATTTGCTCTATTTTCTATAAAGAAAGGATTTGCTGAGCAAACACAATTGCTGGGGCCATATTTAAAGTGCAGAAATGATGTGCATTCAAGTTCCATTAAACACTTCTGAAGTTCCGTTTCCCTCCAGACATCTGTCATGTGGATTACAAACTCATTTTAAGAGTCTAGTTTTAGTCAGAGTTTATACAATTCTATTCCTTGCGGAGATATTCTGTAACTCATGTTTTTCACTAGTTCTGACCAGTTCCCCTCCTACCCCCAAACTTTTCAAATGACTCTGTTTTGCTGCATGAGTTTCCTGCAGTATTAGTTTACTGGCAAAGACATATAAATCATGGCTTCCACAGCTGTTTCAGATGAAACTGTATATCAATGTGTGAACTTTTAACATACAGCTTAGCTGGAGAGTTATGTGAAGCAGGTGACTGAGGAGATGGATTTCAGTGCTTGAGCCACAGTCAGTCTGGAAAGAGCTGAGGAGGTCTGTTGAATTCTGGTGCGTTTGTGTGGCTCAGAATGTGTGCGTGCAAGGCAGAGAAGTCGTCGCATTTCAAAGAGCTAAAGATAAGCGTGGTAGAGTGAAGTCACACTTTTACCCCACACATGCTGAGCAGGGGCGCAGCCAAAGCGTAGCACTGGTTTGTTACCATCAGTCCATCACTCTTGGTTTAAGATGTGTTAAACCCGTTAGAGATACTCAACATGATCTGAAAGGTTAATTGAAAACCCACATCAAGTGCACCAAAAGTCAACTGGAGAGAGAAGATTTTAAGTCCCTGGGGTTGTTAATACAAATTGGCTGGCAAAGGAACAGAGACTTAGTCAACGTATCTCCGTGTCCCCCTGAACACCAGGAGCCTCCAGTTTTTGGGGGCTGTTCCCTGGGGAGGCTTCATCAGTGACATCACAGGGATGGCCACCTCCCACAGCCTACTTGAGGCGCCGCCCAGGGCCCAGGAGCCCGGACAGCCCAGGAGAGGAGCGGGACTTGGAGCCTGCGGAGGGAGAGGGGGAGTCTGCGGCAGCTGGGGGCATCCTCGCCCCCTTCAGGTAACAGCAGAATGTCTGTGCTGAGCACACAGGGTGTGTTCGTGGGTGCCCATGAGCTGCAGGGGAGAAAAGCAGAGGAATGGCTACGTTCCTCAGTGAAATAGGCGGTGCTTGCTGTACACAGTATTTCTTAAGACACAAAGTGAGTACTTTTGATTCCTGCTTTCCTTTTTTCTACCTCATGTTAAGCAGGAGGTTATGCATTTTATTCCTTCCTGTTAAAAAAATTATTTTTTGTATCATTGAGGAAAGTTTGTCTTCCATCTTCTCAAAGTCTCCATTCAAAGAAAGTCAGCATCAAACAATTTGTTCAGAGCTTTTTTGGTTTTTATTTCATCCATATGTCATTCCCTTTGGACCATCTGATGTGATCTTGACTCCAAAAAGATTTAAAATGAAGCCAGAGTTGTCTTTGTGGGTTGGCAGCAGAAAAATGGAACTTGCTGATCTGAATTTCTACCTAACTTTGGCATAAATGTGTGTGAAAGTGAAGTTCACCTCTTATGGTTAACTTACACGTTGATTGAATTGGATTCATTAGACATTCTCACCTTAACTCTGTGTTTTTTTGTTTAAAAAATATGCAAAACAACAGATATTGAAGTTCACCATCAAAGTGCAAGAAATAATAAGAGGGAAACTAGGAAATGAAGGAGTGTGACGGAAAGGCTGTCAATTCAGAGACTATTGAAAAAAATATGAAGAATGCATAAAACATACAGTTTGAACAATAATTATAAGGCCACACATGTATAACTATCACTGAGGTCAAGAAACATGATTTCTAGCTTCCCAGAAGTCCATCAGTCATCACCTCCTTCTTCTGCTCTCCCATAAGTAATTACCTTCTTGATTATTAAGATAAGCTTGTCCATGAATTTCTTTATAATTTTACCGTCTATGTCTGTATTCCTAAACAATATGATTAAGTTCCCTGTTTTGGGCTTTGTATAAATGGAGTCATATTCTATGTTTCTTTTGCCCCACAATTATATTTGTGAGCTCCACCCATCTTATTGTGTGTTCATATATTTCTTTTGCTCTATAGCATTCAGATATATGAGTAAACCAGAGTTCGTCATCCATTCCATTGCTGATGAACGTTTGAGTTGTTTGCAGTGTGCGGATATTATGAAAATGTTGTTGTGAACATTCTTGTGTATGTGTTCTGCTGTACACTGGCTTGAGTTTCTCCAGTAGAAGGATAAAAATAGGGAATGAACATTATTAGCAGGAATGAAAAATGTCAAATTGTTTCCCCAGTGTTGCAAATTTACACTGACTTTGTTTAATCACGGCAGTGAATTGCAGTAATAGCTCATTCTTGTAATCACTACTTTGGAGTACCCACAATTCTAGCAACTAGTTCCATCAGCCTGTTCCAGTTCTGCCTCTAACCTGCTATGTGTCATTACAACAAATGACTTGACCCCTCTCTGAAAGTCACATTTCTTAGCTATAATATTGGGAAAGATAAAAATTGTGATACTTGTCTGAGTTGTGAAGACCACAGACTTGTGTAGGTCACATGAACAGAGCTGTGGACAGTTTTCAGTAACATTTCCTGTTGGTATTTTTTGCATATCTCTGTACTTCTTCAGAACTTACCCAAATAATAAATCCTCAAGGAAGAGTCTGCCTCTGATTCTCATTCCTTTGCCTTCAGGCTCTTTGCCTGGATTCATCACCTTCCTGCTCCCCTCTGCTCTTGCGAACATTCTTACACATTCTCTCTACTTCCTTTATATATTCATTTTCTTCTGTTCACTGTCTTCTTCAAACAAATCCTTGTAAAGTTTTTCGCTGGCAGTTTGCTATATTCTTTGTGTGAGGGGACAAAAGATGGATAAAAATTAAAAGAAAAATGAAATATGAATCAGTCATGATTCAGCCATAATTTAAACCAAGATGCATCAACCCACTGATCGACACAATCTGATTTGAAACTGTGTGTTACATAACACGAAAAATGATTATTCAGCTGGTTTATACAATTAATAGTTTGGTCCACTAAAAACGTAACGAATACAGTAATTGCAATTAATAATTCAGTCGGGTTAGACGGTTAAAAATACTGTTCAGGTCAAAAAGTGTCTAACGACTCTTTCTGCTTCCTGAACTTCCACCCTTAGCAAGACATCTTTTCCCCCTAAACTTTTTCACTTCCTAGTAGACTCTTGTCCCAAACATCTAAAATTTTAGTATTTCACTTGGTTTGCCTACACAGGCAATTATGCCACCTCACTGAAGGTAATAATCTGATTGGCTGCATTCCATATGCTCTCAGAGAATGATTTCTTGTGTGTACTGTCTGTACAAACTATAAAGATACCATCTCTGCTCTCTGAAGTGTTTACAATATAGGCACATCCTGGCCTTAGCTAAAAATAGCTGGCACAAGCCCTTGCTGAATTCAAGTGCCCATGAGGCTAACACTTGCACTTTGGACCAAGTGCCTGTTGTGTGAGGGGCTTTGGGTTGACCCCAGTGGGCCTTGTGCCCAATGCAGGGCTTAGGAAGAGGCCAAGCACTGTTGGAAATACATGCTTTCATAGGTTTAAATGAAGTTCCATAGCAGACAGAAACCCGAACAATCATGGTGTCCTACCTCTATGTGTAATTCAAAGTAAGAACAACACTAAGCCATAACATTAGAGAAAAAATTTTTTTCCCTTCTGATTATCTTGTTTGCTGGTACTCTGCAGAGCAAGCACACAACACACATATACACACACACACACATACACACACACACACACACACAGAAACTGGAGAGAGAAAAATCGAATACTTTGCATTTTACCAAAAGCACCAAGACAATCATCATAGGAAAAAGATTAGGAGTATGCTGGTCTTTTCTAACATCAGACAAAAAAGCCAGACTCCATGTTTTGTTTTTTAAATCGAAATATAGTTGATATGTAATATAGTGGTTTCAAGTAACAACATATTGATTTCACAGTTACCTACACTATTAAATGCTCACCCCAACTAGTGTAGTTACTGTCAACATAGAAAGATGTTACAGAACTAATGACTATTCTCTATGCTCTACTTTCATCTCTGTGACTAATTTATATGTGATTGAGATTTTGTGCCTCTTTCTCCCCTTATTCCACCTTCCCACACTAACCCCTCCTCCATGGTAACCACCAGTCACTTATCAGTGTCTATGAGTCTATTTATGTTTTGTTTTGTTTTGTTTAGATTTCATGTATGTGAAATCATATGGTATTTGTCTTTCTGTGAAAGCCAGGCTCTTTGTATTAGTCAGGGTTCTTCAGAGAAACAGAACCCATAGGGGTGTGTGTGTGTGTGTGTGTGTGTGTGTGTGTGTGTGTGTGTGTGTGCATGTCTGTGTGTGATGTGTATAGAATTGGCTCATATGATTACAGAGGCTGGTGAGTCCAAAATCTGCAGAGTAGACCAGCAGGCTAGAGGCCCAGCGACGCCGCAGCTCTCATCTAAAGACAGTCTGGAGCCTGGGAACCCACGATCAAGTTTGCTTTCTTCTGAGTCCTGCCTTCTCGGCTTGCCGGTGGCTGCCTTCTCCTGTGTCTGTGCATGTCTGTGTCCTAATCTCCTCTTCTCATAAGGACACCAATCATATTGCATTATGGTCCATTTTAACTGAATTACCTCTTGAAAGACCCTTTCCCCAAATACAGTCATGTTCTGAGATACTACTGGGGGTTAGAATTTCAACATATGAATTTTCAGGGAGACATAAATGGGCCCCTAACACTCTTCTCTTCCACAGCGCTGCCATGTCATTTGAGGAAAGAATGCTCATTAACCACCACCCCCCCACGTGTTTCCTGTTACTTCCTGTAGGTGAGGAGAAGCAGGAGGTCTTGGGCGTGCCCGCAGAAGTCTGCCTCCCGTTCTCACTGAGCCACTCTGAGAATGGAGCGATCCACCCGGGAGCTGTGTCTCAACTTCACGGTCGTCCTGATCACTGTTATCCTGATGTGGCTCCTGGTGAGGTCCTATCAGTACTGAGAGGCCATGCCATGTTCCTGGGACGGACTGCGATGCTCCAGAGCTGCCCGCCTATGTCCTGAGACCCCACTGCTGCCATGGATGCCTGTCCTGGCGCCCCACAGCACTTGTGACCTGCACTCACAGGATCCGAGGCTAGGATTCACTGCGTGTGCTCTAAAGAGGCTGCCAGGTGTTTGCCAGTGAGCGTTACATTTATTCCCCAACTCTTACTGCAAATGTGTTAGACAAGCCACAAGGTTAGAATTAAACTGGATTCCTGATGATGCAGAATTGTAACACGCCCCTGATCTGTCTCTCCACACATCCCTTCAACCCACACTGTGACAACCAAACTCCAAATCAACCCACCAGAGGAAAGGAATGTAGGAGAAAGCCATTGTCAGGCCCATAGCTATCACATGAATCAAGTTAAGTCAATGACAGAGGTGACCTTTAGAATTTATTTTAGCTTCTATTTGTGATACTGCATTTGACCTTTGGCAGGGATTGAAGTGTTACAGTATTTCTAGCATTTGAGATAAGTCAGGATGCTCCAACTGCTGAGGATTTGAAACCAAGGCAATTAAGAGTGTCACATTTCAACTAATTCCTTGGGTCCAGGGCTTCTCAGCCTTTCCCTCTAAAGTAGTCCAGGGGCAGAGGGGGACTAAGTCCATTCCGCTCCGAGGTCTGCAGCATGGCCTGAAGTGCTCACTAAGAGCACAAAATTTCTTCACAGTCTCGTATTTTGTCTTTAAAATTCATTAGCACTGTATATTCTACCCTATAATATTGCCTCTTTATTTTAATATAAATGTTACAACTACATGCTGCTAAGTAAAACTAAAACATGACCCATGTCCCCAAGAGCATGTTCCAATTTGGTTATTGTCATTATGCAACAGAGCTAGTCATTAACAAACTATAGTCACAACAAGGAGGAAACCAGAAATACAAAGTAACGTATATTATTATAAAAGAGGCATGAAAAAGACCCTTCTTAAACACGCGGCTGGAACACCCCCATTTGAGACAGACCGCATTTCTTCTCTGTGCCACTTCTGAGGTAACCGTGGGGGAGGGAGAGCCGCACCGCCCCTTTCACCGTTCCGCTCACGAAGGCAGTCCTGGCCGAGAAGTCAGCTCCTCCCCGAGGCACTGCCGACCCAGCACTGCGGTTCTCAGCCCTGGTTGCACAGTCCATGCGCTCAGGCATAATTTTTTCACAATATTTAAGCTCGGTTTCCCTCAGACCAATTAAATAAAAATCTCAGGGGCTCGAGCCCAAGCATCCGCTTTTTCAGAAGTCCTCTGAGTTGAGAATTACCAATACCTACTAGTAGGTCTCAGACTTTGATGTGACTGAATTACTGGGAAAACCCTTCAGATGCAGACTCTGAGTCAGTTCTAATTCTGACTCAGTCTGTCCTGGGGCCTGAGATCCTGGTGCTATGGTCCGTGGTCTTCAGGTGGATTAGCACGTTAGAATCCTCTGGGACCTTTAGAAAATGACCATGCTTGAGCCCTGTTCCCAGGAGTTTCTAATATAATTGGTCTGGGAGTGAACCTGAGTATTATTTGCTTTTAGAAGGACTGCAGGTGATTCTAATGTGCAGCCAAGATTAAGAACCCTGATATAGTCAAAGGAAAAAGTGTCACTATTTTGGAGGGTTCCCAGAAAAAGTTGGGAAATAGCAGTGCATGGTTCTCACTGTCCTGTTTCTAATTTCACAGAGAGACCACACGTGTGGGTGTGTAATTGTGAATAATTTAGTGTGCAGCATGCCTACTCATAGGCATGTGCTCTGGGGTCCTTCGTAGAAGGCTGTTACTTTTACCCTTAGTCAAAGAAAACCTCAGAGAATCTGCTGACTTTTGTATATGTGTTTGAGAAAGTGTGTGTGTGTGCTGGACAGGGGAATGGACAAAACGCATGACATTCCCTTCCGCCTAAGTGTGAGTCCTGGTGCCAACATTGACAACAGGTTGCATTTATTCAATCTGCTCTGTATGAAGCCCTGTACTAGGCACTTTCCATACATTATGCTACTTAGCAGATGTGGAAAGTGAGGATCACAGATCTCACTAACAGATCTAAGTGGTAAAGCTAGGATAACAAAAGTATCACCTTAATCTCTGTTGGGGAACACATGCAAATCCCACTTCATAATAGATCTCCAAACTGTTTGTTATAAATTTTTACCCTAACATCCTTTAGCATTTTATAATATCATCCTCATTAGATGATATTAACAGTTGTAATTATCTACATAGTTTCTCTTGACTTGTCATTCTGCACTTGCCTTCTCTTGCCTTTCTCTTCCTAATTCCCTGTGATTGGATCTACTGACAGGACCCATTCACAGACCACCTTATAGTTCACCTCTGTGGGGGCAGGACATTCATTAGCTTGGGTTAGCAATTACGCCCAATTTCTTCCACTTTCAGTAGTCCTAGTCATCACAGCTAAATTCCAGTCTGACTCCTAAGTCTCCTTTTATGTGTAACCTTCCCCGGGACCTCAGGAACCCTGAATCATCACAGTACTGCCTCAGTGTGAGCCCCACCCATTCACATACTGCCCAGATACCCTCAGACAAAAATGCTACTTCTCCCCTGGAACCAGAGCACTGAGTCTTAGTTGTTAACTAAAATTCCAGTTCGTGGGCTCCATCCTACCCTAGCTTCTTTCTCTGTAGTTCATTCATTCATTCACAAGTACTTGGGTGAAATTACGGTATGTTGGACATTATACTAGGCACTGGTGAAAAAATGGCAAATGAGACAGACAAGCCTTATTCTCATAGAGCATTTGACTTAGTTGGGAAGACAGATATATGAATAGGTGATTATAATGGTTTAAGGTCTTTGACAAGAGAAGGATAGGGTGTTGTTGGAGGAGATTCCAGGCAGAGGGAACAGCGTGAATAAAGATTCAAAGGTTGGAGAGCATGACATCAGGAAACTGAAAGTATTGCACAGCTGAGGCCAAGAGGGCTGCTCCAACCACTGGCAGAATTTATGCCGCATGAAGTCAGGTCTCGAGATTCTGAGCATCTGACTTCCAAGTTGGACCCCCTCTGGAAGTCCTTTGCTATCATGCCTCACCCACTGCAAGGGATCTGCTGCCGCCAGCAATTGTCCCAACATGTCTGTGCTTACCCAGAGATTAGATACTGGGCCCTGAAACACCTGGCTGTTCATCCACAGCTGTCAGGTCAGTTCCCCCTTCTACCATCTCATCCTTGGAGCAGCTCTCTACTGAGTGATGGTCTCTCCTTGCCATGGGCCCAGAGCTGCCACCATCCAAGCACATCTTAAAGTTGAGCTGCTTATTTTATAGGGTCAACCACATATGAATTTTAAAAAGAAGATATCGTGTAGTGCTGGCTTAGGTTTTTCTTCCAGTTTCCCCTAAACTCACTATTAAACTGGACATCTACTGGAACATCCCATCTTAATTTCATGATTTTCTTACACTGAGAACATACACAAGCTTTTATCAGTTTGGGGCAGTCTCAGCACTACATCTGACTGCAAACTCTTCTCCCTATGACTACCATATGATTAGCCTTATAAGTATAAAAAATTATCCAGATAATTCACAGCCTAAGCCACGGCTCCAAGAAAAGAGCCCTAACATGAACCGTGCCCATGACCACATTCCCACCTTAGCTCCACTGACCTAGACAGGGGAATGTGAAAGTTGTCATAAAATGATGGTGCTGCGACTGTCCAATTTGGATTCCCAGTCTATCTAGAAAGAATCTCAGGGGCAGTCCTTTTTACTTCTATTATTACTTAGCTGTCTCTTTTGCTCCACTGGGACACAATTTTTTTTGTCATTCCCGTAGCCATTTGGGCATCTGATTCACGCCATTCCTATATGGGACCCACAGCCTCCTCAACAGGCAGGCTTCTGTCTGTTATCACTTTGAGTCCTGTCCCGAATGCCTAGAGTACTCCCAGTAGTTTGGGACAAGATTAACTAAACTGGTTCTGTTCCCCTTTCCTCTGAATATGTTACCTATCATTCTCCTACATATATTTTATCATTTCCTTGCTTTCAGAATGACCTAAATTTTTTTTTGGCACAGACAACCCTTAGCTGATCCACACCTACCTGTAGCTTCCCTTCTGTTTACCTGATCTACATGTCCTACTTCACCCCTCATTTCCAACTATTTCTTATTATTTGTAGTTTTCAAGTATGCCATGCTCTCTTATACTGCTGTGACCCTGCATATCTATTCCCTGTGCCTGAGCCTGTCCCTCTGTCTTTTTCTGGCTAATTCATTTGTTAAAATGGCCATTAGGAGTTCTTACCTCTTTATTATCCCAAGATAATCCCTTTCTCTGAGTCTCATGCCTAACGTGATCACATCATTTATGACATCATATGGTTTGTTTGTGCGCCTCTCCCGTGTTTGTTTCTTGTCTGGGAGGACACTCTTCAATGTGATATTTTAGTTCCTAACTGCTTGTAACTCTGGGGGGGAAAATCCCAGGGCAAAATTCCTTTGAAATGGAAATCAGTCAAAGGGAGAAATAAAGTGGGAGAAAACCGTTTATTTCTTACAAGCAGTTGTCCACTTCTGCTTTCCTGTATCTCTCGTGACCAGGCTGCAGAAGAAGGGCCCCCTCCCAACCTCTCTGATCCAGGGATACCCTCGCTTGCTCTTGTAATTACCAATTGATAGGGACATGGACTAATTCTCTCCACCCCTTGGAAATATCTATTGATATTGAGATGCACTAAGGCCAGGTGAGAGAGTATGGAAATATTGCAATTTTACCCACAGCCCACCCCTCCAGAAATCTCACCTTACAATCTACTCATTCCCCATCTTCTGAAATGGCCCCTGAGTGAGAAAACCGGAGCACTGCAACCAGACTAATAATGTACAAAGCAACAACAATAAAATCATGATATCCTCAAGCCAGAGGATTCAACTAGGTTCAAAGTCCTATGCAGATTAAGTCTATAGCTCACCCATTCCACAGGCAGTCAGTAGCTGAACGCATATGGAGTTCAGAGTAATCATCATGTGGTAGCTGCAGCCAGGGGGTAGGTCCAGGCCACAGGGACTGTAGAAGAAAATAACCTTAAGGGCAATAAGATACATGTTTTAATGACACCAGCATAGGCAAATCTTGTCCATCAGGTAGGATGCATGCAAGAGAGTGGTGCTGTGATAGGACAGTGGCAGAAATGGGATCTTGTCCTGGTCTAGTATACAAGACTTTCACCCTCCTCCCTGTGGGAGTTACAGTTGAGTCAATATATAGGGCTACAG